GGGGGCGGAATCTATCACAGGGTAGCTGCGTGTTAACTTGCAGAATCAAACATAAGAAAAACCTTATTATGGAAATAATTCTAGAAATTCATAGAAGTAATGGTTAAATAAATCACCGCACAGGGGAGAAGCTGTACATGGAAGGAATGGTTTTATAAGAGTAGCATGTATTATGTACTCATGGCCATCATGCATATCCTCAAAGGTATTTATCACAGCAACATGCTTAATTTCTCAATTCCCAGAATTTGGCTACCTTCAATATGGAGCTCAATATTAAGCTTACACATAAACATAATTAAATACTTGGAGTGCAGAATTTAAGGATATTGTGTTTAAAATCTAAATAGTCCTAATTAAAGAATCCTTTGTAAAACCTGGAATAATTCTAAAAGTCTTTGAAAACCGCAACCTTTTGATAAAAAACAACAGAAACTCCAGCAGTATTTCTCAACATTTTATTGGCAGCAAACTTTCGGGTCAAGAATTCAATGCATGTACCTTCTCCTGAGTCAATAATGCAAGGTCTTGTAAGTGGTTCAAATTCTCAATATGTCCTAAACCCATTTTTTGCTTATGAATCATATCAGTATGATTTAGTTCAAATGGTAGAAAGTCAATACCCTTTTCAAAAAGGAATATAAACTGCTTTTGTTACTAAAAATAAACTTGCTGTGGTCTAAAATATAACATTTCTTCAAGTCAAACAAACTCTGCCTTCCATCTGGCACTGAACTAGTTAAAAATGAATTGACCATGTTAATGATCCTGTCTTTGTGCATTGCCCCAATAAAGCTACCGCAGTTGCAGGAACTCAGCTGCAGACAGAATGAAAGAAATGCAAAGGCTGCAACCCTGGGTAGGAGCCACCTCCTTTTAACAGAATCCTGGGCTGAAATGGGATCTTATTCAGCCGGAGCCGCCCCTTCCTCTCAAGGGATTCTACATACGCAGTTGGATGTATGGCCACCCTTGTCCTTTGCCTCCCAGTCAGAAGACTCACTGGGAAGGGAGATGGAGCCCATCTGGCCAATGCTCAAAGAAACAGAAGGGGAGGGGTTGGCCAGGTGGAGGTGGCTCGGCTGCTGTGGGTTTCCTGGGACTTGCTGGGCAGACGGGCCGTGTGCTTGCTTGGATGCCAGGCAGTCAGGCCCTGCTTCACTTGCATCTAAATGGAACAGAGAAAGTCTATTAGATCACTGACACTACATGTCACAGACTCTGGCCTCCCATGTAACAGTTACACTGATTTTATGACAGCCATTCAGACAGACTCTGGCAGGATGCTACCCTGCTATTTGTAAATGCCATGTAGTTGACCTGGGTTTGCCAGGTCAACCAGAGGCGAAATAACTGGGATTGCACTGCCTTCTGCCTGATCCAGAATGAACCCTGGTGGCTGTGGCATCACGAACATTTGATTGACATCCTGCGGGAGCCTTGTATATAAAACCCCTATTCAGTCACGCCAGATTCTTTTAGTGTATCTTTCTTGCACATTGCCATGACTAAGATTCTTTAAGCCAATGATCCTCAAATCAACTTTAATGGGACTACTTTGGAATAAATGAAGATTGTAGCCTAAGCCACAGGGAATCTGGCTGAATAACCTTCCATAAAAACTCTTGATCAAAACCAAAAATGTTTAATGAACTAGTTCTGGAGAAGCTATCTGATTATACCCAGAACAATTGCCTCCCTTTACGGTATGAGCCCTGACAGTTGGTACTTCTACACACAGAAGTTTGTTGTCCTGCAGAGGATCTTCCATTAGGGAGAAATCAAATTCAGTGCTGTTGTTTTCCCTTTGGTTACTGAAATTGGATTTCCTAAAATTAAGAGAACCTACTCAAACTAATTTGCACACATTCTTAAAGCATTTACTTCATGTCTATTGACGCTACTTATAACGAGAATCTATTGCATTTATTTATTTAGGTAACTTATATGATTGCCCATTATATACTGGGCGGTTCACAGCAATGATACCAACTTATAACAATAAAAAACCCAACATCCCAAAAACAATGCCTGGTGCCCTCAAGCGATACTTCCCAGTAACAATGACTGGGCTCCAGCCTCACCTGTTCCCAATGCTTGGGGAAAGAGCCTGCTTTTTAAGGCCTTCCAGAAGGCCAGGAGGATGGGTGCCTGCTGTATCTTGGGGCGAAGGGTTTCCACAGGGCAAGGGCTACTACTGAGGTGTGTTTCCTAGGTCCCACTAGAGCAGTGTTTCTCAACCTTAGCAACTTTAACAGGGGCAGACTTCAACTCCCAGCATTCCCTAGCCAGCATGCTAGTGAACTTTAAGATGGGTGGACTTCAACTTCCGGAATTCTCCAGACAACAATGCCTGCTGGGGAATGCTGGGTTGCTAAGATTGAGAAACACTGCACTAGAGAATGCCTCCATTGTAGCTTTTATTTGTTTCCAGTGTAAGTATAAGAAAATGAGAGTAAATCTAATTACAGATACAATTGTGTCTGCATCTTCATAGGATTTACATTCGGTGACAATTCCTGCAAACTATGCCTTATCCAGGGATACGTGTAACTTGACAGTTGAAATATGTAATGCTTTCTCCTAAGTTCATATGCATTCATTTGCATATATTATTTGTACCAATTCCACATCAATGATGTGTTGTGTAGAGAATTGCTGTTTCACCTTGATTCTGTTATCAGTTTCATAAGCTGTTTGTTTTTTAATTTAACTCTACCTAGTTGCTCCAAGGGCTTTCTGAACAACTGACAAAAATTTAAACAAAACATCCACTTCCAGGCATTTTGGACTACAGTTCTCATCATCTTAACCCCTGCCATACTGGTGAGGTGATGGGAGTTGCTGGCCCATACGTGTGGGGGAGGCCAATGTAAAATAATAAACTCCTGGGAAGTCTGAGCAGCTGCAGAAGTCTACCTTTTCCATCCTTGCTCCCAGGCATCTTATGACTCTTGCAACGTTCTTCTCCTCTGAGCCCTTTGCTGGAACACCTTCCTTCTTGAATCTGCTGTGGTTGGCACTGCTGAGATATCTGCCCTGGGAGAAGCACTGGGTCTGGGAAAGTTGGCTGAGCTACAATGCAGGGGGTGGGGTTCAGTAGAGACAAACTGGGAGGAAGCATATGCAGTTCCATCCCAACTGGGGTCCTGGGTTGTAGGGGCACGGTGACAGATACATCCATTGGCGAGACACGGAAAGGCAGCAGCTGAGGACTGCCAGGAGTGGAGCTAGATGGAGCAAGAACTTCAACGCTGGTCTCTGAAATCCAACCAGTCTCCATGCTTTGTGGCAAGCAGACAGTCTTTTGCATGGGGCCTGAGGTACTATGGTAAGTTCTCAAGTTTGGGGTAAAATGGTAGTGGCTGATACTGGAAGCCCCACTAAGGTTAGGTTTGACAGGTTGGATACTGGAAACCATTAGAGAAGTTGCTACCTGAGCCCCCCGAGATGGAGCAACTGAGAAGAGACGGACATTTTTGTATTGCTGGGGAAGAGTGCTACCATGGAATAATGGAAAGAAGAAGGGTCCTGAAACTTGTTCGCCATGAGCATTGACTGATTCTGGAGGTAGATGGGCTCGTTTCAAAGCTATGTCCCTAGAGGCCTTTATACCATGCTGACCACAGGAAGGCATGAAGTAGGAGGGATGTGAGTGGAAAGGACTGGAAATGGCAGGGTTGGGAATGGCTTCTACAGGGCGGGAGAAACCTGGTGAGGCCATGAGAGCAGGAACGGTGTTGGCAGGGGGCAGGAGGCCTGAAGAAGTAAGAATGGGACCAGACTGGGGGGCATTTCTTAACACCATCAGGGCTTCAGCGGCCTCCTTCTGGAGCTGTTGTTCAGAAAGGGGTGAGAAGAAAAATCCTCGAGTGGGCCAGACTGAAACATGAGCAGAGGAGCTTGGCTGAAAGAGAGCAGGAAAGACAATTAACTTCATGATAAATAAATCAGTGTCAACAGGACCAAACAACAGAAGTTACATTTGTTCCTTCCAGCAAGTGAGGAAACACTACAAGAGCAGGATAAATCTGTGCTCTCCTACGTCATCTTAAGATAACAGTGCTAGGCATTCTGGAAAAATATAAACTATAAAACACACTAGGCCTTTTCTAGCTTTAGTTTCAATCGAGCCCATGGTTGGCTTAGGAGGTGGCCTGGGCTCTTCTTTTATAGACATTTTGATTTGAGTGGAATAAAGATGACGTGCTGGTTGCTTTTCAAGTATATAGTGTGAAACGTTACCCCAAAAATTAATCATTTGAACACTTGCCTGTGCCAAAGAGCAAAACTCTTTGCTTTAATCATTTAATGGATAACATTTAGGTTACCTAGGCTGCTTTGTCCCTGGAGTATGTATTCTCTTTTATTCCTTTTGCTCAGTTCATGCATTCTCTAACCTTCCCGAGTTATTGCATCATCTGCAGACATAAGATTCTTGCAAGCAAGAGATCTGTGCTAAGCAGGAAGCAACCATGCAGAGAATGCCTGGCTTCCTGCTTCCTAATGTACATTAGCCCTACACCCACATTAACAGCTCAAGTGCTATGCCCATATAAAAGGCCATGCCCAAACAAATATTCCATATTAATGGCTTAATGGATTGGTTTAGTTCCCACAACTTGCTAAAAGAGAGCCAGGTTCCCACAACATCATGAACCACAAACCAGAGATGTCCCTGGCTAGCCACAATGATGAAATGCGCATCACCATGTTGCAATGCACGTTTTGCCACTTGCCTCTCCTGCAGACGCCTATGCCACAAAGTGCCTGGGGTATTTTAGCCTAGCCTTGCGTGTTGGGTGAACTCAGCCAGTGGGTTATTTGGAAGCAATAAGGTATCCATTCAAAAGTACCACTGAAAAGGGAGATTTTGAACTACTGTCCATTTCTTTGTGACATTATCACACTCCAATCAGCCGCTGACTGGAAATGGAGATATCAAGAGAGACCCAACCAAATGCTTTTATGAGCCTGTCCCTGGTTCATACTCACAGATGAAATAATCTCATGTGTCTACTTCACTGTTTCATTACAACTTCCCTCACACTGGTTCCTTTTGGGAAGAGGAAATAGAATAATTCCAGTTCATGTGCTCAACACAGACGGAACAAAACATTGTACCTGACCTCCTCCCAACGGTGGAGCCTTTGAACGTCTGTTCAAATCCATGTTGCCACTGATGGGGTTCAGAGCCATGCGGCTGGAAAGATAAGAGAAAGAGCGAGAGACATCTGTCTGTCCTGTTTATAACATTCCTCAGTGGCAGCTTGTCTCCCACTTGCCTTCTGTCCTTGCTAAAACACAAACTGTTGAGGGGGAAGAAAGACTACTACAGCTGTCATTCTCCCAAATTCACCTTACATATACACCCACAACTTGCTGTTTGCAGTAAATGTTTGTCAGTATAGACAGCTGCTGCTGTACTGGGATCAGAAAATACAAGACACCTAATTAAGTTGGCTGTTCCTTTCACTGAAGCATTTTTTTTCTCCAGGATGTAGGGTCTGGACATAATGTAAAGATCGTTTGCAAAACCATTATTCCAACAGTTTCTTCTATTAATCCAGTCTATCTGTTATATCTAGTTCATGTTGTTGATTGCACGCTCCTGCTATATCCTTCTAGTGGAAGAGTTCCATGTAACTGGAAAGTTTGAGCATTTTCTTTATCAATAGAACTTGGTATTTAAAAAGTGATAATCTCATCTACGTTATCTCACACATTTCTATAATAAACTCTCTCTTGGTTTTTGTGTTTATTTGTATCTAAGCCCTAGCATAACCCCTATATGATCTGATCTGGCTCAGATGGAATTAAGAGTCAGAGCTGGGTGTCGTTCTTTAATAAGTAATTCTGCCAGAATTTCTTTTTACACATCTGATAGGATTTCATTCTTTTCACTTTAAGTTTTCCGTCTCAAAACTGCAGGAATCAAGTTTTTAAAACTTTCCATAGTTAATCCAACTGGCACAGCTTAAACTGGTTCTTGTAAGTATATTCCTATAAACCAGTTTCAATTCAGTTCATTTCTCCCTCAAGATAATCTTGACTCCTGGTGACTTTATTGCTGATTTATTTAGAACATTTGCATGGGCGCCCAACTCAAACGCAACTCTGGGTGGTATACAAAATCATTAAACAAAAATACAAAAGAAAAATAACACATACCATTAAAGCAAATTAAAAACATTAAATGCCAGTCAGGACTAAATAATACTCTGGGGCTCTACTCATCCTGACCCAAGTGCCTGGGGAAAGAGCCAGGCCTTAAATGCCTTTCTAAAGGCCTGCAAAGTCAGGACTGACCCATTTATCCCATTTATTTAGGGATCTATCCAGCTTGATTTTTGCAACAGTACTTTTTCAACTTCCATCTTGTTCACAGCCATCCTGATGGCTTCCCATCCAAGTATTAACCAGATTGGACTCTGCTTAGACTTTCTGAAATCACCCAGGATCAGCTAGGTGCTGCTGTCCAATATTCTCTGGGCAGAAATGCTGAAGATGTCCAGTATACCTCGATAGGTCAGCAGCTGGAGGGAGGCACCAGGAGGCACCAGGGACCTGATGAAACATCTGCCCTGGAGCAGGTAGGTAACTCTCTGGTGTGTACAAAGCTTCATTACCATTGCAACCTGCAGAAAAGAAAAAAGCCATAACCGGATGTTGTCAGAACCTGAGTAGAAAGGCTGATAAGATGCTTATAGTATAAAAACTGAGACCGAGGTGCAGCTTTGGGGGGCAACTTTTCTTCGGGTTGAAGCCATTCACAAATGGTTTTTAAAAATGTTAGGTCACAGGCCATCTATATTAAGTTCTTACTCAATGTTTGCTAGAATAGGGATACTGATAGTATTTTTGACTTCTGCCCTTGGGTTGGGTAATTTTATGAAAATTGATATTGTCATTGGTCATCACTGGGCTGCTCATAGGTGAATGGTGCAGTTTGTAAATTTAATTAATTAATTATTAGTGCAATTTAGAATTCTTTACAATAATTATGTTCATGTAATTTGAGTTAATTATAATCAATTTTAATATTCATCTACATTGAGGCAGCATGCTAGATTTCCAAGAACATTTTAAGTTAAAGTTCTTAGCTTTTTCCGTAAATCTCCCTTTCCAAAATGTAATCCCCCTTTCATGAGGAAAAATCCTTGAATTCATGCTAAGCATGAATTACATTTTTTGTATTTATTAACAAACTGTAATAATTAAAAATACCTTGCATAATTTCTAAGAACAGTTCTGTGAAGTGAGTCACTGTTACATTTAGATATAAACAGGAAACTGAAGCCAGGAAACAGCCATTTGTTCGTTTCTAGAATTTGATTGCTAGTTTCACAGAGCCCACATCAAACTTATTTAACTTTGAACTATGCTAGGGGTTTTTTGTTTGCTTGTTTGGGCCTTCAAGTCAGCATTGACTCCTGGCAACTGCCTGGACAAAGCCCTGCAGTTTTCTTGGAAAGATTTTTCAGAAGTGGTTTGCCTTTGCCTTCTTCCTAGGGCTGAGAGAAAATGACTGACCCAAGGCCACTAATCTGGTATGGAACTGAAACTCATAGTCCCCCAGTTTCTAACTTGGTGCCTTAACCACTACCCCAAACTGGCTCTCATGCTAGCTTTGTTACTAGGATAATAGGTTACCTACCTTCCATGGGTGGAAGATTAAAGGAATGTTCCTGAGGCAGGAAAGGGGAAAAGGAAGCTGGGGGCATTGCAAGCGGAGGTGGGAACCAAGCAGGAGGTGCCTGATGTCCTCCAAGGGCCCAGGGCAGCTCGGTCACTTTTGAACAAGGAGAGAGAGGTAACCAGGAATTTTCCTGAAGAACAATGCATAACATAGACTTACTATTTATTTATTTTATTTATTGTATTTATATAGCCGCCCATCTCACATAAATTGACTCTTATAGGAAACATTTTGTAAATATTGCACTGCTAGGTATCATATAAGTTATTTTGTGACATAAATGATCCCCCCCCCTCCGGACTAGTGCCTGTCTTACTGAAATCTGTGGACAGGAAATATTGTAATTTTTAAAATGAACTATGTATACTTTTCGGAATTCCAGTAAAGTTTACTTAGAGCTAGAAAATATATTAGCTAGTTATCCTTACAAAATCCCAATTGTATACAGAAAGTTCATTATAGAGGTACTGACACATTTCTCCTAGGTTCTTAGAGAAATGGGGTGAAGGCATTGCCAATTAGGGAGTCCTATGTCAGTTTGTCAGAATTAATGGCCATTTTATGATTACTTAGAAAATACTGAGAGGTAAATGTTTTTCCTACAAAATATTAAGATTTTCCACATAAAATAGGTACTATGTTGGTAATGGAATGAGATATATAGCCTTCCTTATGTTTTTCCCTTTTTCATGGATTCTGTTACACATTTTAAGGAATCTTGTTTTCAAGGAACTATGAGTCTGAAATTGTTTGCTAGATGCTACATGCAATCTGCTGTTAAAATGACTTCATCAAAAGGAACTCCTTTTCTCACCTTCCTTGCAGTTCTCCGCCTTTGTCTTCTCAGGAGTCCTGAAGCTCCCCAGAGTCCATCTTCTGAATCATTCAAGGGTTCTTCATTTTCCTTCTTTCCTATCCAACCAAAGCAGGAGGGGGTTCAGTGTGTGTTATTGTTTGCCAAACAGATTCTCAGGCTCAACCATAAGGTTTTCCCCCTAGTGATGTGTCACATCTTCTAGATCAGTGTTTCTCAATCTCGGCAACTTTAAGATGTGTGGACTTCAACTCCCAGAATTCCCCAGCCAGCACGGCTGGGGAAAGTCCACACATTGTAAAGTTGCTGAGGTTGAGAAACACTGTTCTAGATCATCTACCCATTGCTGAACCACTATGCTGTATTTTTTGTATTCAGTCAGATGCTAGAAATGGTTTTACCTGTCCCTCCCCTGCATGGTTTCATCCCTTTCAGTGGTTTGGCCAAGTGGAGGGAGTTTGGTGGTCCACTGTCCTGAAGTTGTAGCAAACCACTGGCAAGCTGCTTTCTCAGCTCCATCTCCTGTTGTCTGCGCAGAGCCACTTGGGCAGCCATGACACGGCGTCTTTGTCTAGAAGACCCAATTTTTTTTTTTTTTTTACAATAAAGTAACAGAGGAAGTAAAGATAAACCACCACACAGTACTGTTTTGTATTACTACTCTCATATCCCTTCCCGTTGACTATCCAGCTGAGCTGATGGGCAATGGCCTGGTTGTCTCCAAGATAACAAGATGATCAATTTGTCAAGAGAAGCAAAGAGACTTCATTGTCTCCATGTATAATAAACTCCACTATTTAGTGAACTGTCCTTGCCAGTCAGGTAGTAAGTATAGTACATCTCTGTACGTCCTGAATTTCACTTCCCTCTGATGTTAACATGTCAGTTAACACTATGGGTATATATAGGCTTGTAACTCAGGAAGTACTTAATGGATCTGATTTGGGCTTTGCAAGGGGTAGGCCCTCCCTATGTGTTCAAGTACAACTTCCATCATCCCTTATCATGTTGGCACAAGCAAATGGGAGTTGGAATTCAGCACAATCTAGAGCAGGGTTTCTCAACCTCGGCAACTTTAAGATGTGTGGACTTCAACTCCCAGAATTCCCCAGCCAGCATGAGGTTGAGAAACCCTGATCTAGAGGGCCACATGTTGTCCATCCCTGCTAATAAAGATTCCTTTAAGATGCTAGAAGATAGTCATGTTTCTCCTGTCAAAATTGTAGACTTCCAAGGCTGTTTTTCATTTTCAAAGCAAGTTACTGGCCCAGAAGCCAGTAATTCAACCAGAAACCACTGTTACTCAGAAACAAAAGCATACACTATCCTTCTGACCTTGTCTTCAAGCTACCAAATCCTTACAAGGAGCAATTCAGCCCTTATTCAGGCTTCTTACTGAGGCCCACACGATGCCCTCAACGGCAACGCATCTCTCAAGAACAACAAAGCTCAACATTTACTTTCACCTTGTTTCCCCTCCTAGCTTACAGAATAAGGATGCATTTGTCACACTGGCAGTCCTGGAATTGGCAACTGTTCTTGTGGCCTTTCAACGGGACTCTGATGCCATGATTACGGCAGCGGGCGCAGGTTGGAGAGCGTGCAATGGTGGGAAGCGTATAATCATCTTGAGTGGCACTATTATCCACAGTGGAGTCTGAAAGGCAACTCTGAACATTTGGGGCAGTCGCAGCATCAAGATCCTCATTGTCCCCCATAATGCGTGAACCTGAAAGAGAGGGAGGAAATATCTATTGAAGAAAACATAAAGTCCCTTCCACAGTCAGCATAGATCCAGCCAACTGAGTTAATTTGCTGTTAGGTAAAGTAAGGAGAACAGAACATTTTCCATTTCAGGTACCGTGTTCGATAGACATCAGAAACATCCCCCAGAAACTCAATCCTGCCATGCACCTCCTATATTTTTCCTGATTTGAAACATGCTTCTTTCCCATATTTTATGGTCGCTTGCTGACTGTAGAGCAGCACTGTCAGAGAGGGATAAATATTACTGGAAAATAAATAAGAGTATTTTGAAGTGAGCCTTAGCTGCTTCCAGGAAATTCATTTCTAAATAAGTGAATTTTGGCTTGCCGCCATAAAGATGACAATTAAGAGGCCAGGAATAAGGCACCACCACTAGAATCTATTCTGTGAAACGACAGCTTTTATGGGAAAGCCTGGCCCGTTAATTGCCACCATAAATTGCCAGCATTTGCTTCAGGATATTTCCTATTTGCAAGATTCATGAACAGACACTGGGAGAGTTGTTTTGATATGACTGAAATTATCATCCTGGAACTGGATGAGTCCACTGGAGTTGGGTGGCTATCATAAATTGAAGTAAATGAAATAAGTAAACCGCCAGGGTAATGAAGGCTTGATGCAGGGTGGGGACTGGACCCCAACTGGCAGTCTTAGGAGGGGCCCCTCCTGCATGGCATCTTCCTGAAGGGACCTCAGGTCACTGTGACTGCAGTCACAGCTTGAGCTAAGCCACAGCTTGCTTAATCCTGGGTTGCTGGCTTCACCCATCCTGAAGCATAAACCATGGTTTGCAAACCCCAAGGGCTGCCTGGTCCATTCCGCACAGGAGGCCAAAACCAAACTAAAGGCCCAATGGCTTCACGCGACGGCCAAGCCCCACATGGGAACCAGGATCCCACAGCAGTGGGGACACAGCTGCACCCCAAGGAGCCCAAGCGCCTCTGCATCTTGGCTGGGAGGGAAGAGAGGCTCCTTGGCAGGGGCTGCAAGGCACAGCCAGGACTTTTTTTTAAGCATCCTTCAAGCTTTTCAATTCGGAGGAGGAGGAGGAGGATTAGCCTCTAACAGGATACTTGTGAGGCAACAAGAGAATCCTCCACTTCTCTGATAAAGCCGCTCTCGAGGACTAGGAAGCAACGTGTAGCATTACCATGCCACTTGGAAGCAAATATTGCCTAAAAAGGCTATTTGGGGGGAGCGCCGGGGCAGAAGAGGTCACAAGGAACAACTAAATCTGCATTTCTGAAGCCTGCCTGCTCCCACTCCTGCCCGTAAAACGGTCCCTGCAGCAGCTCGCTGCCAATTGCAGCTTTCCTAACATCCTCCCCCGGCACGGTGAGCCAATCAACGGTGGGCTGTTATTTTTCCTCAACCCCAGCGACCCATTAGAATCGGCCGGCTTGGCCCCGCCTCTCCCTGGTTTGACTGCTTTGATCGGGACTTAAACTGTCGCTTTTTCACACTGATGGAATAAAAGAGCCAATGGGCGGCGAGAGCGACTGGGGCTCGCGCCGCCGCGGGGGGGGGCGGGGGCCGCTCAGACCATTGGGGAGAAGGGAGCGAGCAACAGTTGGGCCGAGCCATTGCAAAACCACAGGGGTGAAAGGGAGCGTCAAAGAGAGTCCAAAACATGGGGGGGGGTCACCTCTCTTTCATATAAGGGTCTGTTTAAAGTTTCTTTAAAAGGGGCATAAGGAAAAAATATACATTTTCCCTCCAGTTGTGTTTGACAACTCCCACTACTTGCGATCTGGCTGTGGATAATAGGTTTTGGGGGTTGCACAAACAATACCACTGAATTCTAAACTAACCCCTGAGTTTGCACAGGATGCAAATAACTAACCCAGGTTATAACTAATCGAGGATGGTGTGTTTGAGAAATGCAGCTACGCAGGTTACGTTAGGGCTGCCATATCTAGCCTGCAAACCTCTAGAACAGTGCTTCTCAACCTTGGCAACTTAAAGATGGGTGGACTTCAACTCCCAGAATTCCCCAACTCCCCCCCCCTACTCTCGGACCTCGGCCGCAGCGAGCAACAACCACATACAATAAATAAATGAATGAACGAATGAATCACCGCAAGAA